GTCCGGGGGCACGTGGCAAGCCGGTGGGTCAGAGAGTGGGAGCCATGAAGGACTGTTTCTGTGTGATTGGAGTGTGAGGTATCAGAGGGGGAGTACTGTAGTGAGAAGCCAGAGGCAGGTAGGCCCCTGGGCAGTGGAGATACCACTGAGAGAACTTTTATGCCAGGCTCAGGAGTTTTGAATTTTATCTGACTACCACCAGGTGCCATTTTATACAAAGGATCAACATTATCAGATGTACACTCTGATTTATCTGGAGGTAATGTGGAGGATGGATTGGTGGGCTGCAGGACTGGGTAAGGAAACCAGTTAGAAGGGGAGAGAGGAGGTTTTAGAAGATTAAGTGCCTGAATTTGATGGCCACTTGATAGGAGGAGGAAGGAAGAAAGAGGAATCTATACCCTTGGCAAGATTTCATTGCCATTGGACAAGGTGAGAAACCCAGGAGGAGGAGCAGATTGGGGGCAGGTGTTGGATAGAGGATGAGTTTAGTTTTGTTGAAATATGAGTTGTGTGTGGGTTGTTAAGTGGAGGTGTCTTAGGCGTTTATTTTGGAGCTTAAAAAAGATGACTTGTCCATGGATTTAGGTTTGGGAATCATCAGCTTATAGTTGATACCTGGAGCCTTGGGAGTGAATTAAGATTATCTAGAAGTTATCCAGAAGAAAAGGAAAAGGTCATGAGATGGAACCCTAGGGATCACTGACATTTTAAGATTTAGGCAGAGGGAAGTGACCAGGGAAGAGAGTCATGAAAGTATGTTTAGCTTCCTAATTGAAAAAAAAAAAAAAAAAAAGTAACATTCTTGCAGAATCACTAAGAAAAATTGAGAAAATACAGAAAAGAAGGGGAAAAAATTCCCTTCATCCCATCACAGACTGAGTTACTCTCTGAGTTTTCCTCTCCATATAACTTGCTCTGTTACATATTGCACCACATATATAATTGTGGTATATAAAGCAGTCAGCTTCAGATTGTGGTTACCCATATCATTTGCTTACAGACTCCCTAAGAGGTGCTGGATGCATGGAGGGAATCAAGTTCCAGATCTTTCCAGATCTTTAATCTCCTTGTTTATTATTTCTAAAACGGCTCTGCCTGAGTATACTTAGTCCTTTTTCCTTATGACAAAAGAAGGGTTTATCTGCTCCCATCCTAAATTTTTCTGTGATGCCTTGCCCTAGGGTATAGAAACCTCTTGGGTGCTATATAAATGAATTAGGGGAAATTTTGGATTAACGAAACTTCCTTTAATGAATTAAGGCATCTTAATCCCATAGAGGCTTCCTGTCTTCCTTGCCTTATAAATGGTCCTACCTATTTTTTAATGGTGAAGTTTAACATTAGAAATGGGGTTAAGATACTCTGTGTTTGGCCTGTGTTTAAGATACTTGGAATTTAGGACATTTGAAGAAGTGCAAGTTAGTGGCAGTGATTCTTTTACATATATGACTGGAATATTTCAGAGGACTACCAAATTTTTCCAGATATGTTGGGAAAAATCCAGAGAATCACATCTTATGTTAGTTCATATTTGGTATGCATTATCCAGTAAAGTAGTTAAAACTTTACTACTTGACTGGTTTATTTTACTTAGCATAATGTCCTCAGATGTCATCCGTGTTGTCACAAATTGCAGAATTTCCTTCTTTTTAAAGGCTGCATAGTATTCCACTGTATGTATAAAACACATTTTCTTTTCTTATTTTTTTGTTTCTTTTTTTTAAACCACATTTTCTCTATCCATTCATATGTCTATGGACATTTGCATGGGAGTGTTGATCTCTCTAGTATTTAATATTTTCTATTTCCTAATAACAAAAGAATAAATTTCACTTAAATTTATGATGAAAAATTAATGTTATTAGATATCATACTAAAGATGTGCAACTTAAAAGTTTAGATCACTGATATGTGCACATATACATAAACACAGAGATAAAATAAACATACAGTGTGCCTGTTTTTTTCTTTACTATTGTATCATAAGCATTTTTCTCCATTATATTCTCCCTTTAAGTATTTTGAATGATTCCATAATATTTCATCATATAGATATACTGTAGTTTACATAACCATTTATTTCTTTATAATTAGAGTATTTTCTACTAAAAATAAGATGATTATGAGTATTAATATGTATAATTTTTTTTTCCTACATTGGGGATTATTTCTATATTACAGATTTCCCAAAGCTGATATTTTGGGTCAAAGAATATAAATTTGATTAAGTTCTTGGTACTTTTTTCTTAATTTTTGCCCCAGGGTGGAATGTAAATTGATACAGTTCTTCTGAAAATCAAGTGGGCAAGTGCTTGTTTCCCTCAGTGGGTGCTTTTGCTTTTTTTTTAAAGCTTGCAACAAGTAGAGAATTTTACTGGCGAAGGTGTTTTCCTACAAGAAACAGGATCTTTAATTGGTATCTTTTCTTCATAGTCAAAATTAATATAATTGTTGTGTAAGAACAAAAAATTCACCAGAGATAGGAAGCTTATGGAAACATGGGACTGTGGTGCATTAAGTCCTCTCCTGGGCAGTCATGGTGGAATTAGAGCCCATCTTTATTCTTGAAAGTGGTGGGGCTTTGATGATCCAGGAATGAAGTAGATGTTTATAATAAGAATCAATATTTTTTCCATTTAAGGCTTAAGTATTTTAATTTGTTTATGCAGGGTTTTTTGCTTGCTTGCTTTTAATATGTATACAAGACTTGATTGGTGTGTCTGATTGGAAATAGATTTAAAGCAGTTGGAAAGAGAGTAATTGTGGTCTTGGGATATGCATAGATCCTTTGTTAGTTTTATGTAAGAATATATTCTTTAATATAGCATTATTTTACTTTACCTAACAAGTATAACTATGTAGCTGTTCAAAAATCCAGAAGTCTTAAAAAAGAAAAAAGAAAAAGCCTTCGGTTCTGCTAAAGTAGCTATCATGTAACACTTGCACTAAAATTCTGTGCTTTGTTCAGGATCCGTTAGAACTTCATTCAGAGCATATTTACACTTTTGACTCTATTGCATACTTTATAATTGTAACCATATTGGAAATGTAAGGAAGGAAAAGAGTTCCATATAGTCACTTTGCCCTAATAAATGAATTGTTAGCATTTTTCATGTTCTCTTTTTATTCATTATGCAATTTTAAGGAGTATGATTGTTTGATTTTCCATCCTTTGATAGATAAGAAACCAAATAAAAAGGGATGAGGGCGCTTCAAGGGCAGATACCTACATTCTAGAGTAGCTAGAGGTATACACACTCAATTGAACTTGAGGACATTGTCTTACAAGATTGTTAAATATGATGATCTCTGGTCAGCCAGAAAAAAGGTAAAATAACATTTTATATGTTTTGTTTAAAAACAAAGAGAAGTGTACAATACATTTTGAAAATTTTCCAAAATCAATATTAACAGAAAAAAATTGGTACATAAGATAACTGGAAAATCACTTCCATGGAACCTCTGTGTTAGTTGTGCTTTCAGGTTGCAAGGAACGGAGACTCCTGTCCACTCCCCACCCCCGTGTTGCCTCAAGTGATGAGAATTTAATAATACATGAGGAAATAACTAAACACAGGAATTAGCTCAGAAAATGAACAGCAGTTCTTGTGGCCCCAACTATAGATGTCTCTAATCTTGTCACCTTTATTTCTCAGTCTCTACTTTGCTCTATCTGCTTCTCTTGCTATTACTTAAAAATTTCACTCTTTCTACCTCATGGTTCTGTGTCATGCCATGTCTCTTGGTCTGTGCTTCGTTTAACTGTCATTCAGACTTATAAAAAGAGAGATCAGAGTAAGTTTAATTGGCCGTTATTCAATTCAGCATGAGTGTTTCGGGCAGAGTTCTCAGGCTAAAATTCAGGGGTTCCTGCCAGCCCATAGATAATTGCCTTTGGTTGAGAAGCCAAACTTTCATCCCTAAATTGACAGTCCTGGTTGTAACTCAGGGGTTGGGGTCATAAGGCATGGTAACCTATACATTGACCTACTTTTTTCAGGAGTAACGAGTAGCCACTTAAAAGTCTTTATAACAGGGGTCACAGACTCAGCTTTTAAAGGGCCAAGGAGACTGGTGAACCAGAGAGCCTATGCCCCACTTGAATGGGGCAACTTCCACTCAGCTCTAGCCAGTTGGTGTCACGTGGAAATACAGGTCCAATGTTGCCAAGTGTTTTTTTTTTTTTTAAGAGAAACCAGAAGTCCAGATTTCTCAAAAATCTCTCAATTTTTATTGGCACCTCAATAATTTTGCCAGTTATTTCAAATATTAAAAAATATATTGTGTAGGCTAATCAAAACACATCTGTGGGTTAATAATTTGTGATCCTGGTCTTATAGTATGTCCAATACAACTTTCTTATGTAATGAGGCAAGCTAGATGAGGTCCAGGTCTTTACAAAGCAGTCTAAAATAATGGAAATAGGCCTGGTGTTACCACTTAACTGGCTCTGTGATTTGAGTTAGCTGCTTAAACTCTCTGAGCCTTTCTTAGCTCACAGGGTAGTTTTTTTGTTTTGTTTTTTTTTTTTTTGCGGTACATGGGCCTCTCACTGTTGTGGCCTCTCCTGTTGCGGAGCAACAGGCCCCGGACATGCAGGCTCAACGGCCATGGCTCACGGGCGCAGCCGCTCCGCAGTCTGTGGGATCCTCCCGGACCGGGGCACAAACCCGCGTCCCCCGCATCGGCAGGCGGACTCTCAACCACTGCGCCACCAGGGAGGCTCCACAGGGTAGTTTTGAGGCTCAAATTCAGCTGTCTCAGATGTGATCTGTGATCATCCTACCTAAAACAGTGCCTCCCCCATCACCTTGCTTTAATTTTTATATATCACTTGTTACTAGCTGACATTATATTGTGTACTTATTTGTATATTTGTTTATTATCTGTCTAATTTAGCCCACTACCTAATACAGTGCCAAAAAGATATACACAGAGAGAATGGATGATGAAACCATTTATAGACTTTACAAATATATCATTTTATTAAATCATGTATTACTTAACTCATTTAGGAGTAGAAGGTATTCTGTGGGGATCAGAAGGAAGCAAAAGTGCCAACAGTGATATAAAATAATCCTGCTGACTTTTGGTTATACATAGGTTAGCTGATGAATTGCATATGCCATCTCTCCCTGAGATGATGTTTGGAGACAACGTTTTAAGAATCCAGCATGGCTCTGGCTTTGGGATTGAGTTCAATGCTACAGATGCATTAAGATGTGTGAACAACTACCAAGGAATGCTTAAAGTAGCCTGCGCTGAAGAGTGGCAGGAAAGCAGGTGAGAATCTGGGTAGTTATGGGTTAAACAAAACAGAAAAGAGTTGAAAAAATATTCAGTTGTGATATGTGTATTTTATTAGAATGGCTAGTACTATTATTAAATCTGATAGTTGAATCATTCTAGAGTTCATTTTTCTCATCCATAAAATGGAGATTAATTACCCTGCTCTTGAATACTTCTTGAATTAAATTGAATTACAATTGAGCTGAGCTATGTAGGGTTTACTTTTTTGAGCTTTCAGTGTTCTTTAGTGAAGAGGCATTACACTGTGTACTTTAATGTTCCTATTTTTGAAGAACAGTGTTTACTCATGATTTGCGTTGAAAATTTGAGGAACATTGAAATTAAGAAAAATGTATTTTCTTTCATAATCAAATCAGCAGTTATTTACTTTGTGCCTATTATGTACTAGGTTCTTTGAAAAAGTATAAGCCTTTAAACCATGTCCTCAGGCAGTGTACAGATTAATTGGAGAGACTACATTATCAGTACATGACAAGTTAAATAACAATAAATGTGCAGAAAAACTAAGACAGATCTTGTGTTAGTGAATTATGACAAGTATATGTATTTAGTAGGATATTTTATATTATCTGTAGAATGTAATTTGGTGTGATAAATGAAGACAGATGATCTATATTCTACGTCACTGACTGACCCTTCTCATTTTGGTGTTTGAGGACGGAGGGTGAGCACTCTAAGGAGGTTATTAAGCCGTATGACTGGACCTATACAACAGATTATAAGGGAACGTTACTTGGAGAATCACTTAAGCTAAAGGTAAATCTTATTTTTTGCTTTTATGAGTCATTGATTGCCTTGGACAGTTTCAGTGTTAGAACTTTCTAGTAATGGGTTATTTTATGCTGCTACTTTACTTTCTATTGTGTGAGGCTTCAGAACCTAATGTAAAGGGATTTTGCTTGTTGATTATCAGCACAAAATAAAAGAAAGCCATAGTGGAACAATTTTTGCTAAAAATGTGGTTGGTAGCAATGGCAGACTGCCTTAATGTTATCATTATTGCTATCAAGAAGCATTAAAATATGTCTGTTCTTGGTGTAATGTATTAGGTGATTTAGACAGAACCTGCTAGCTAGTAGCTTACAGTTTTACAGATGAACAGATATGTGGGCAGATAGAAATTTTGGTCAGACAGCTTGGATTATTGTTTTGCCTACACTGTGTGTGAACCTGGTGTGACTTCAGGCAAGTTATTTAATCTGACTGGTTTTATCAGTAAATTGGATAAACAGAAATATCTACCTCACAGCAGATATAAGGTAAATCTAAGGGAAAGTTCACAATGAATTCTAAATCTCTGTATTAACGTTAAGTTGCATCTGTGTAAGCCCTGCTTAGGAAGAGATTCACTTCGTGGTAAATGACACCAGGAAGGTGGAATTGGTAGGCCTCATATTGGGAGCTTAGCTACATAGAGCCATGGATACTGCAGGGAACAGAGAAAAAATTCTTCCATTACAGTCTAATGGGGGAGGAAGGTTTTTCTAGTCCATTAATACTTCATAGATTAATATTCTCTCTTTTCACTCCTGATTGAAAAACTTTGCAAAGTGTGTAGGCCTTTTGATATTTCATTTCAAGGAGTGAGGAAACGAGAGCTTGTTTTAACCCAATGCAATAATGATGATGACTTACTTTGTGGGCTGACTTACAAAAGCCTCCTGGAGGCTATGAAGTAGCATTAGCTGTGATCGAGGAGCAAGATCCACGGCAATAGAGACAGGGAGTGAGAGAGTAGTAGGAGGTGAAAGACATGTGCTCATACCCTTTATTGGCACTTCAGCCTGTCATATAATTTGTTTTAAGGTGTTGCTGATAAATGTCAATGTGATCAACCACTCACTAGTGGTGAGGAGCTCAGGCTTTGGCAAACCTGAGTTCATATCCCAGCACCATCACTTAACAGCTTGGAAAAGCAATTTAATCTTTGCTAAGCCTTAGTTCTCACTTTGGTAAACTAGGGATAATATCAGTTGTGAGGTAGTAAATAAGATAACATGTATTAAGTGTTTATGGCACAGTGTCTGTTAACAATAAGATCTTAATAAATGGCAGCTGCTGTTATGATAATATCTTATCTCAAATGTCAAGGCAACTAAGTTAATATTATTGAAATACCAAGAGTAAAAGTAGCTATATTGTCTAAATAGTATTTACCCTTGCTTTATGGTCTAAACAGAGTTGATGAATGTGTTCCTTTATTGTCTTAAAAAATAGAGTGACTATTTTCCAGGTAAAATTGTTAGGACTTTGTTGCTTAATTCTCAAAATAGTCTTGTAGGATAGGCATTTTTATCCTTATTTTGTAGATGAAGAAATGGGTTCAAGATCTTAAAGTATGTGTCTCTTAGTAACATAACACCGATGTTAGAGCTTCTTGTTAAGCACATTTGTTATATGTGGAAGGTCACTTGCATAGGAACATTTTTTACTTTTAACTTTGTTTTAATACCTAAGGATTTTTTGACCTGTAATATTATTTGAGATTTTAAATTATTTAATCCTTCAGCTCTTCCTTAAAACACTATTCAGAAGCCCTGGTATGTATAGGAAGTGTTTGCCTGTGTGGGAGAAGGTATTTTATGTGTACAGTAAGAATATCAGAGAATGAGGCATTAGAATGAAGCCTTTCCTTTGCCCTTAAATTCTTGGTTTTTAGTTGCTGGGGCCTGTTGGTGTGTGTGTGTTTGTGTGTTTAATGTTTTCTCACTCTTTAGGTTGTTAAACCTATTACTCTGAGTTTTAGCATGGTGTAAGAGGAGAGAGCCAGTCACAGAGTTGTACTGACCTGGCTGGATTCATATCCAGCCTTGTCATCTGTTGTCTGGGCTACCATAGGCACTTCTCTCAGATTGTGGTATGAGAATGTTATGAGAAAACAGGCCAAATGCCTAATATGTACCTGGCCTATAGTAACCTATCAACGTTTGGCTGTTTTCTTCTTTCTTATTAAATAAATAAATTGAATATGCAGGAAAATATAAGTAGAAGACTGCCTCTTCTATTGATACTGCTCTTTAGGAATAAAACATGCTTAGTGGTCATGCATTTAAAAAAGCTTTTTTTTTTTAAAGCACATTGGAACATTTGCCCAACTTAGTGTGATTCAGTATCTTGAGCTTTCTTTTTTCCTTTTTTTTCATTGTGGTAAAAAAATATGTAACATAAAATCTACTATTGTAGTTATTTCTAAGTGTATTAAATACTGTCAAGTATATTCATGTTGTTGTGCAACTAATCTCCAGAACTTCTTCCTCTTGAAAAATGGAAACTCTATACCTATTGAACAGCAACTCCCCATTTTTTCCTTCTCCCAGCACCTGGCAGTCACCTTTCTACTTTCTGTTTCTGTGAATTTGACTATTCTAGATGCCTCATATAAGTGGAATCATACATTATTTGTCTTTTTGTGACTGGCTTATATCACTTAGCATAATGTCCTCAGGGTTTATCCATGTTGTGGCATGTGTCACACTTCCCATCCTTTTTAGAGCTGAGTAATATTCCATTGTATGTATATACCACATTTTGTTTTTCCATTCATTTGTCAGTGAGCATTTGGGTTGCTTCTACCTCTTGGCTATTGTGAATAGTGCTGCTGTGAACATAGGTGTGCAAATATCTCTTCAAAATTCTGCTTTCATTTTTGGGGGGGGTATATACCCAGAAATGGAATTGCTAGATCATATGGTAATTCTATTTTTAATTTTTGGAGGAACCCCTGTACTGTTTTCCATAGCGGCTGTACCATTTTACATTCCCACCCGCAGTGTATGAGAGGTTTTGATTTGCATTTCCCTAATGGCTAGTGATGTGGAACATCACTATGCTTGTTAGCCATTTGTATATCATCTTTAATATCTTGAGCTTTTAAAGTAACTTTAGGGCAGGAATGTGCTGACATAAACATTGGAAATGAATGGAGTTTATAAGACAAAAGGCACAAAGAACTGCTTATGAGTACTGTATACTTGTTGATAGTTGTTTTCCTCAGAGGTATGGGTTAACAATACTGTTTTAGTTTTGCAAGATGAAAAAGTTTTAGAGATCCATGTTACAACAATGTGAATATAATTTACACTACTGAACTGTACGCTTAAATATGGTTAAGATGGTAGATTTCTTGTTATGCCTTTTTTTTTTTTTTTGCCAGCAATTAGAAAAAACGTTAAACATGATTGCCATGTAACCCAGCAATTCCACTCCTAGGTATACACTCAAGAGAATTGAAAACTATATATCCACATAAAAACCTGTACATGAATATGCATAGCTGTATTACTCATAATAGCTAAAATGTGAAAACCACCCAGATGTTCATCAGTGGATAAACAGAACTGGTATATCTAGACAGTGGAATATTATTTAGTCCTGAAAAAGGAAAAGAAACACTGATACATTCTACAACCTTGGAAACAGTATGCTAAGTGAAAGAAGCCAGACACAAGGGTACGTGTATATGATTCCAGAATGATTTGCTGAACAAACAAATCTATAGAAACAGGAATAAGAGTATTGGCTTCCAGGGGCTGGGGGACGTGGGGAATGGAGAGTGACTGCTAATGGGTATGGTGGTTTCTTTTTGGGGTGATGATATGTTCTGGATTAGATAATAGTGGTGACTGCACAGTCTTGTGAATATACTAAAAACCACTGAATTGTACACTTTTAAAGGGTAAATTGTATAGTATGGGAGTTATATCTCCATTTTTTTAAAAAAGAAAAATCATTGTAAAACATAGTTTCACTGTATGTTCCTAATGGGATGTATACACACACACACACACACACACACACACACACACACACACACACACAACTTTCAGCAGTTTTTAAAAAGGGAATTTAACATAGGGTTCTTAGCATTTGCTGTTAATTAACTTTATATGATAAATTTTAAAATATTTATGTCAAGTAATTTCCTTATTATAAGCCTCCATCTGATGTGAGGGAGGTTCCACTTGAAAGATGTGACCAGGACTTATTTTTCTTGTAATGTATCAAGAATATTTGTAGTGCTCCATATGTTTTTTAAGCTTTTTAAAAATTGTGGAATAACTTAGAAAAGTCCATAAAACATGAAGGTAGAGTTTAATGAATTGTAAAATGCAACCACCCAGGAAAAGAAATAGAACATTGTGAGCACCCCCAAGCAGGACCCTTCCCGATCATAGTTCTTTTAAAAAAGTATTTCCTAGTATCTTTTGAAATTTTCAACTTTAGCTTTTATTTCCTTGAAACTAGTGTGCATTGTTGTTTTACAGCTTGGGCCTCATATTTTCAACATCTAGAGTCCCCAGTGTCTTTTTATTGTCTTGTTATTTCTGTTGGTTCCGATTTATGGTGTCTAGACTTCTAATATGCCTTCTTATTTTTCTTTGAATCCTGTTTTTCCTCCACAGAGGATTTTTGTTTATTTTTGGTGGGCAGCTGAGGGCATTCATAGTCAAGGGCATAGGTTTGCAGATGGTTTCTGTAAAGGACCAGATAGTATTGCAGGCTTTGAGGACCATAGAGTTTATGTTGCAGTTACTCAGCTGTGCTGCTGTAGTCGAAAGCAGACATAGACAATATTCAAAAGAATGGGTATAGCTGTTTCTCAGTAAGATTTTATTTGTGGACATGGAAATTTGAATTTCATATAATTTTTATGTGACATGAAATATTCTTAAGAAAAAATTTCCCCCAGTCATTTGAAAAATGTAAAAAGGATTCTCAGCTTGCAGTTCATACAAAAATAGGTAGCAGCCCACATTGGCCTGGAAGTCTTAGTTTGCTAACCTCTGGTATGGGGCCAGAGTTTGAGGTTTACTGGGCGTGTAATATAAGAAGCTCTGTAGCCAGTGTAGCACTTTGAGATGTCATCCCAAAATTGGGAGCAGGGCAAGGAATTCTCCAAGGCCTCTGCCCTTAGTGAATACTGAGCAATTATGGCGCCAGCAGAGCTCAGCCTCTCCTCTGTCCAGTCATTGCTGAGGCCTCAAGGCCAAAGCTGGAAAACTGTAGGCTCACTTTCACTTTTCCAGGCTCCAGTCCTCTTCCAGATATCAGTCCAGTCATTCTTTAATGCCTTGACCATATAATGCTTTTAAGAAGTTTTTGTTTTTTCATCCAGCTTTTTAAGTTGTCTTCAGCAAGAGGGTTTGTCCAGGTTACTTACTTTGACAATACCAGAAGCCAAAAATGTTCCATATGTCTTAAGTGTAGCTGTTTTACCTTTTCTTTTCAGATGCTTGAGTTCAGGGAGGAGATAAGTGGAGTTGAGGAAGAGAAAAGGCAGAGAAATACAAAGTTTTAAACATATTTATCCTTATGAATGAAGAAAATGTATATAGATAAGTTAAATATATTGAATTTCCCCAATCCATGTGTTATCTAATTATTTTTTGTCTTTCTCTTTCAAACATAAGAACAAGTAAATGGCAAAACTGATGGATTCATGTTCACCAGTCACTTACTGAAGGCATATATGAAATATTAGTGAAGTAGCCATTTACTAATGAGAAAATTCATGTAAGGATTAATTTTTTGGAACTCAGATGTATCTATAAGGAAGATTTTCAAACGTGTTCCTTTGAACTAAAACTAATTAAAAAGTAAGGAATTTAGGAGTTGTTTTTATTTAATAGTAACTAAAGTTTTATGCTCTTAGGGAATCCTAGAGGCACCAACGTTGGACTTAAATAGATCACAAACATGCAAGTGATGCAAGGGACTGCTTATATGCTGCCCTATCCCTATCCTTCACGTTCCTTCCCCACTCCGAATTTCACCTTCACGTGTGGTCTCATGTCTGCTGTAGACACATACTGGAATAAAATTGCAGAGGGCTAAAATGTTACCTGTAGGTAAACATGGAAGAACTATGGACATTTTTTTCACCTCTTGGTAATCACATACAAACTGCTAGTTTCTTTCACAGCAACCTTTTCCCCCTCTGCATCACTTAATACTCCCTAAGATCATTTTCCCACAAAATCTATGTAATCTCTTGGACATCTGTATCATATTTTTCTAATTCTTGTCCAGTTTTCTGAAACTACTCTTCATTCCTTTTTTTTTTTTTTTTTTTTTTTTGCGGTATGTGGGCCTCTCACTGTTGTGGCCTCTCCCGTTGTGGAGCACAGGCTCTGGACATGCAGGCTCAGCAGCCATGGCTCACGGGCCCAGCCGCTCCGCGGCATGTGGGATCTTCCCAGACCGGGGCACGAACCCGCGTGCCCTGCATTGGCAGGCGGACTCTCAACCACTGCGCCACCAGGGAAGCCCTCTTCATTCCTTAATTCTATGCATGAGTCAAACAAATGACCTAGTCATAGCTACTAAGTAAAGTAAAATAATAGCTACCATTTACTGAATTCTTATGGTTTGACAAGCATTGTTGTGTTTATTTATGATACAACTATGTCAAAGAATTGAAAAACTGAACATTTTGTAGTGAAATTGAATGTAGTAAAGAATGGTGTCACAAATCATACTTTCATGTTACTATTAGGAGACACTTGGATTTAGTGAGCTACTGACGTGACCTGCCTTGAGATTGTTGGTGCTTTTGTTGGGTTATGTATGTTTGTGTCCGAGGGCTACAAAGTAATACTTTGAAAAAATAGCCGGTATCCACTACAGCCCTTTGGAATGCTACGAGTTTCCCTTAGAATTTCTCTGAAAGTTATTTACCTCAGTATTTAAAACACCTTTGTTTGTAGATTTGGGGATCTAAAATATATACCATCATTCTAATGGGAAAAAATTTTTTTAAGTTCCAAATAAATGTCGTAAAAGTAGACTTCTATGGCACAAAACTGCTTTGAACTTCTATGATAGTAGTAGCTCATCACATTGACTAATTTTCAGATGGTTAATTTTCTCATAGTCACAATAGAGCACTTGACTTTAATGTGTTCTATTTAATGATTTTCATATGAAAGACGATGAATTTTGACTCTCTGTGTTGTGAAGCTATAATATCAGACATCTTAGGTTTTTCAGGGACAAGGCATATATCTCGTTTTTCGTGTCTACTGATAACACCCAAATTTAGAACCGGGTGCTCTGGCTATGCAGAAAATACTGGTAGGAAAGCTGTCTAAAATTTTTTTTATGTGCCCCTTCTTATATTTTTTCTTTTAGGTTGTACCTACAACAGATCATATAGATACAGAGAAATTGAAAGCCAGAGAACAGATTAAGTTTTTTGAAGAAGTTCTCCTGTTTGAGGATGAACTTCATGATCATGGAGTTTCAAGCCTGAGTGTGAAAATTGTGAGTATTGTGAATGTGTTTAAAATTAACTTCTACCATTTTTACCATTGGTCAGAAATACAAGACTAACTTGAAATCATACCATCTTAACATGATGTCATGTAAAGTTTCACTTGGGTCTAGAATACATCTTATTAATATCCATCATAAAATTTACTAAATCTTATGTATTTTATATATTGTATCCTGTATATTTTGTATATTGTTAAGACTTTAGCAAATCATTTTTTTGTAGACCTGTCTGGCTACTTTGCTGTTTATTATTTAATTTAAATGAAAACTGTGACTCAATTTTCACATTTCTGAATTAAAAATGATAATTGAAAGAATCTGCAGACAGCACAGTGGACGTCATTTTATTTTATTTTTATTTATTTATTTTTAAAATTATTTTATTTTTTTTATCTTTGGCTGCTTGGGGTCTTTGTTGCTGAATGCAGGCTTTCTGTAGTTGCGTCGAGCAGGGGCTACTCTTCGTTGTGGTATGTGGGCTTCTCGTTGTGGTGGCTTCTCTTGTTGTGGAGAACGGGCTCTAGGCGCGCGGGCTTCAGTAGTTGTGGTACACAGGCTTAGTTGCTCCGTGGCAGGTGGGATCTTATTGGACCAGGGCTCGAACCCATGTCCCCTGCATTGGCAGGTGCATTCCTAACCACTGAGCCACCAGGGAAGCTCCTGGATGTCATTTTAAAAAGTCACCCATGTGTCAGAATTTCAGTGCCCCATTAAAATACACTTTAGTCTCCAGCATAGAAGTGGAAAACAGAAATGACAAGTGTTAATTCCCTCTTTTTTTTTTTTTGTATTCTTTTCTACCAGTGGAGGACAGGCTACTTCCATTAACAGTGTTATTGGTGGAACATGCTAAAAAAGAATAATAAATAGACCCCCTATTTGTTCACTATTAGGTTATAATTGGGTTTCTAACACTTTCCAGAGAAACTTCAACTGAAACTTTTTATTAAATGCCTTATCCTTAAGATCCAGCTAAAATGTCACCTCCTCTGTAAGGCCTTCCACAGCTCCCCTAGGCAGAGTCAAATATCCCTTTACCATATTCCTATATAGTACTTTTTTTTTTTTTGGTACGCGGGCCTCTCACTGTTGTGGCCTCTCCCGTTGCGAAGCACAGGCTTCGGACGCTCAGGCTCAGCGGCCATGGCTCACAGGCCCAGCCGCTCCGTGGCGTGTGGGATCTTCCCGGACCGGGGCACAAACTCGTGTCCCCTGCATCAGCAGGTGGACTCTCAACCACTGCACCACCAGGGAAGCCCTTTTTACTTTTTTTTTTAACCCCTCTGTTATAGCACTTATCATAACAACTGCCAAAGACAAGAGCCCCAGCATCAAACATTGTTCTTGGAGCATGATTATGGATACTGTGATTTAAATAATAATAAAGAATGAAAACAATAAGTCAAAAGCAGCAATAAGTGTGTTTTAAGCTGAGTTTTTCTGTAGAATCATAGGATTTTGGAATTGTAATGAATTTTTAGAGAATCATTTAGTCTAGCCTCTATAGATGAGGCCCCAAAAGTTAGTTTATCTAAGGTTGTGACACTAATTAGTGACAAAGTTTACTTTGTAACATATATCATTATTTTAGCATTAGGTGATTGTTCCTTGTTCACCTATAACTTTCCCCCAGTTTATCTCTTGTCATTTAGATTTGTTCATTCTCCAGCTCATCCAGTCATGTACCTTTCCATTTGTCTACCTTCCTGCGGAATTGACTATGTTGAATGTTCATTATGAGTTTGCATATCTGGATGTGCATTTGTATCCAAGTGGGTAGATAGTCTACAGTGTATACAAGTGGGTAGGTATGTAGGGAGCACTTGCTTTTTGCAGCTGAAGGAGTTGGAGAGGGTATGGGCATAAATGTATTATATGTGTATCAGAGTAAATAGTAAGTCTCAAATTGAAGCTAACATCATCTTAAAATGCTTTCTTCTTACCTAGTGTAACTTTTAAAAAGTTATGTGATAGCGTTCCATTTTAAGAATGCCTGGAAGGATTTCATTAGAATAGTGAACTTCCTTTCTGGGTTGGTTTTTTTCTCAGAATATAACAGATATTGCTGTAAATAAAATAAATGCCATAATTTCTGGCTTAGAGGCAATAGGGTATGGATAAATGAAGTTCTTTCCTATAGAAGCAAAGATTAGGCTGGTAAATATGGATGTAGGTGAGAAACCAGGAATGTGGTGCCTGGGAATCGAAGGGAGTAGAACTTCTCAAGGCTGGCATGGAGGTCAGTATGCTGAAAAGAGATCTTAATAAGCTTAGAATGGGATGGTGTCCGCTAGACTAAAACATTTGTTTATTGGTTTTAGCAATTAGGTTATTGTTCTTCACTGTGGCAAGATCAAGGTAAGTTACATACTTAGGTGGTAAATAAAAGATGTGGAGGTAGAGACAAAGTGTAGATATAGACCAAACTTTCCTAAAGCTTACTGGTATAGGAGGGGAAACAGATATAGCTAAGAGAGAACATGAGGTTGACAGAGGAATGTGTGTGTTTGTGTTTTTAAATATGGGGAAGACTTTAGCATGTTTAGGTACAGGAAGGACTCACTTGTAGACTTGTAGAGAAAGGGGTGAAAATGGATGGAGTGAGGTTTCTGAGGATGAGTATGGGAGGAAGAGGAAGGCTTTGAGCCTTTGCTGTATGTGAGACTGATTGGAAAAACTCCAGTCTTCTCCTGTGTTTCTCCTTTACTCTCACACTACTATCCCACTCACAACACTTCTGACACCAGATGTGTGAGTTTTTTCCCGGCACCAAGCAATTCTGTGACACCAGTTGGATGTCCTACAATTTAATCCAGTTCTGACATTATCTACTTGGAAATAACGTCAGGTCCCACTCAGTCCCATGAGACTGCCCTCCTTTCTTCAGATGCCAATAGCAGGTAGTAGGCCCCAAGTCACCCACAACCTCTGTTGGACTTGGCTACAAATTGGAGATTCCCATGACATTCTCCTTTTGGATTTGATTATTTGCTAGAACAGATCATAGAACTCAAGGAAACACTTATGTTTACCAGTTTATTAAAGAAAATGTTAAAGCAGGGGTCCCCACCTGGGCTGCACGGCAGGAGGTGAGGGGTGGGTGAGTGAGAGAAGCTTCATCTGTATTTACAGCCACTCCCCATTGCTCGCATTACCGCCTGAGCTCCGCCTCCTGTCAGGACAGCGATGGCATTAGATTCTCACAGGAGCGTGAACCCTACTGTGAACTTCCCATGCGAGGGATCTAGGTTGCATACTCCTTATGAGAATCTAATGCCTGATGATCTGAGGTGGAGCTGAGGCAGTGATGCTAGCGCTGGGGAGTTATTGCAAATACAGATTATCGTTAGCAGAGAGGTCTGACTGCCCAGAGACCATAATAAATCAATTGCTTGCAGGCTCATATCAAAGCCCTATCAGTGAGTGGCGAGTGAGAACAAGTTCAGGGCTACCACTGATTCTGTATTATGGTGAGTTGTATAATTATTTCATCATATATTACAATGTAATGATAATAGAAATAAAGTGCATTATAAATGTAACGCACTTGAATCATCCCCAAACCGCCCCCCCTGCACCAGTCTGTGGAAAAATTGTCTTCCACGAAACTAGTCCCTGGTGCCAAAAGGTTGGGGACTGCTGTGCTAAAGAATACGGATGAAGAGATACATAGGGTGAAGTCTGGGAAGGTCCTAAGCCTAGGAGCATCTGTCCCTGTGGAGTAGAGGTGCATTGTCCTTCCAGTATGTGGGTGTGTTCACCAGCCTGGAAGCTCTTTGAATCGCACGCCATTGGGATTTTATGGAGGCTTCTTCACATAGGCATGATCAATTAGTAATTCCATTTCTAGCCCTCTCCCTTCTGTGGAGAGTGGAGGTGGGCCTGGAAATTCTAAGCTTATAATCATGGCTTGGCCTTTCTGGGTACCAGCTCCCATACAGGAGCCCACCCAGAGTCACCTCATTGGAACAAAAGATGCTTGCTTCTAGTGCTCTTATCAGTTAGGGATTTATAAGGGTTTCAGAAGTCCTATTTCAGAAACCAGGGGTAGAGACCAGTGTATGATTCTCTATTATGTCACAGATACCATGCTAGATAATTATCTATATTATCTGATTTAATCCTCCTGAAAATTCTATGCAGTGAATACTTATTCTTATTTTCAGAAATATTAAGTAACTTGCCCTACATCAGTCATACAATGGGTAAGTCTGTCTCTCTGCCTTTGTTCATAATCTTCTAGGATCTAGATCATCAGTAGAAGGACTAGCCTTAAGAGAGAGAGATGCTTCTTCCATAGTGATAGGAGGAAGGGAGAACAGGATGCAGTTAAGTCAGCCTCTATGCCAGTGATTCCTAAACCTGGAGTTTTATCAGAATTCCTAGGCACATTAGAGATTTAGTTGTTTTTTTAACACTATAGGACAAAGAATACATACATTGCTTTTATTTGGTGTTTTAACCTTGGCTGGAAGACGGCTAAAAAGTTATTAGAACTGCAAAGTATTTGATTACGAATGTTTGTTTTTCCAGTTTCCATAATAACTATAAAACACTCTGAAAAGAAATGCTGTTGAAATGTGGAAGATGTTTATATAAACAAAATAACGTACTTTAGATTCTTGATATTGTTGGATTGAGCCTTTTAGATTCTCTTAATTTATTTAACTGTTTCAGGTTTTAAAGTGTGTTTTCCACCTTCAAATTTCAACCCAGACAACTTTTATTAAAAAATAATCATAATTTCTTTGTGGTACAGTTCCCTAGTGAGAAAGAGTGGATTTAGAGCTCTGTGCATCATGAGGCCTGGGATATTTTGGATTTGCTTCATTGAGTTTATTATGAGTTCTGATAACTTTGTGTGAGTGGCATTACCTGTATCTAATTAGGAGATATTTGTTTCAGAAATTAATTTTCTTTTGTATTTCTAAATTAGCTTCTCTCAGCAATGTTTGTTTTTAGGTTAGGATTCTGTGTCTTAACCTACT